AGAAACAGATTTACAAACTTGTATTTGTGTACAGTTCCTTATGGTCTTCAGCCTTAGAAGATACTGTCAAAATACGGTTTTCCAAAGTTTCCTCACTAAAATATTTTCTCCATCACTCCTTCAGTGTGGATAAATTAATCATTTGTAATACAGTTAGCTGACCTTGCTGCTAGTTGTATTAGACTTTGCGTTTTCCCTAATACGCTGGTTGATTTTAATTGTTTACTTATATTTTGGATAGAAATGTTACTATGATTCAGAGTCAGGCCTATACAGAAACCAAGTGTACTCAGAGAAGTATCGCTTCTTCCTCATTCCTTCTACCTCATTCCCATTCCCCATTTCTTGCTATTTCTTTCCCACCCTCCCCCAGAGGATAACCAATATCTTTAGTTCCTGGTTCAATCTTTTCTGTATTTATTTTGCACCAATTAGCAGATACATACATGTTTTCTTATATTCCCTTCTCACACAAAGGATAGCATACTATTCATATTTCTTTCCATTTTGCCTTTGCCATTTAACAGCATTCCTGAAATCACCCCACACCGTGTCATACAGATTTTCATCATTCTTTTTCTTACAGCTACACTGGACTCCATTGCATGGCTGTACTATACTTCATTCAACCACTCATCTATGTGTGGGCTTTTAATGTGTTTCCAGCATTTTGCAGCTACAAACAATGCTTCAATGAATAACCTAGGGCACAAATAACTTTGTACTGGTGAAATGTATCTTCGAAGTATATGTCCAGTAGTGAGATTATTAGGCTAAATGTTAGGTGCATATGTAGTTTCTTTAGGCATTTCCAGATTTCTCTTTGGAAGGGTCATATTGGTTTTCATTTCCACTAGCAATGTTATGAGAATGACCGTTTCCCCACAGCCTCACTAACAGAATGTGTTGCCTTACCTTTTAAACTTTCGCCTATGTGTTAGGTGAGAAATGGTATCACGGTGTTGTTTTAATGCACGTTTTTGTCTGTTGGTAAGTTTTGAAACATCATGTTTGAGGACTGTTTCTATAATTTTTTGCATGAATAGTCCGTTCATGTTTTTTCCTCATTTTTTGATCCAGTTTTTGGTCATTTTTTCATTCAATATTTAAGAATTCTATGTATGTATTTGGAATATTATCCATTTGTCTGAAGTATGTGCTGCAAATACTTTATCCCAGGTGTCAGTTGTATTTTGATTTATTTATGATGTATTTTTTGCAACACTTTCTTTTGCTTTTATGTGGTCTAACTGGTTATTCTTTTCTTTCATTGCCTCTGGAATTTGAATCACAGTTAGATGCCTTTCCCTACACCAAGGTTAAAGAAGAGTTCCGCCATAATTTTTTCAAGCACTTGTATCGTTTCCTTTTTTATGTTCAGATCCCTAATCTGTGTGCAGTCTACCCTTTTGTATGGTGTATTGTACGGGTCTACTTTTATTTTTCCTAATGTCTTGATTGCTCCATCGCCATTTAGTCAATGACTATCTTTGCCCTCATGAATTTACATGCCACCTTTATCATATGCTAATTTCCATATGTATTTGTACTTGGGTTGTATTTTTTGGTTTTCTCGTCTATTATTCCACTGCGCTATCTGTAATTTAAGGACGTTATCTCTGCCATCACATGTGGAATCAAAATTCCAGGTCTTCTTTAGAATGTTAGCAAACTTTTCCTGTAAAGAGCTATATAGAAAATATTTTAAGTTTGTGGTCCATAGTGTCTCTGTTATAACAACTCAACTTTGTCATTGCAGCACAAAAACATCTATAGATAAGATATAAATAAATGAACATGTCTGTGTTCCAATAAAAAACCAAGAACTGGACTGTATTTCACGCCATGGGCCACAGTTTACAGGCCCCTGCTCCAGTAGATTCCTCAGATAGGGTTGAGGGGTGCAGAATCTCCTAAGTTCCTGTCTGTTGAAAACTGCTTTTCTATAAGCTGTGATATTTGAAGGGTCAGCCCTGCTGGATGTAAAATCTTTACTTCAGATTTTTTTTTTAAATTTTCTCATTACACAATGTAAACATTTTTTTGTGTGGCCCTTTACCAATTCCTCCTTAACCTCTCCTCCCCCTCCCCCTTTCCCACCACTGGTGTCCTCAGTTCCGTCCTCTCCTTTTGAGAGTTCAAGGAATTTTTGTGATTGATGCATCTTTGTTCCTTCCTTCCTTTCTTTTTTCAGCTGCCGCTTATGAGTGAGGACATGTGGTATTTCTCTTTCTGTAAGTCTGGCTTATTTCACTTAACATGATTTTCTCTAAGTTCATCTATGTTGCTGTGGATGACAGAATCTCACTCCTTTTTATGGCAGAGTTGTATTCCATTGTGTCTATATACCACATTTTCCTTACCCTGTCATCTGTCAGCAGACATTTAGTTTGCTTCTGACTCTTAGCTGTTGTAAATAGAGCTGCGATAAACTTCGGAGTGCAGGTATCCCTTCGACATGATGATTTCCATTCCTTTGGGTATACACCCAACAGTGGGATGGCTGGATCATATGGCAGCTCTATCTCTAGTTCTTTTAGGAACCTCCGTACTGTTTTCTGTAAGGGCTGCACTAACTTACAGTCCCACCAACAGTGTAGGAGGGCCCTTCTTTCTCCACATCCTCTCCAGCATTTGTTATTCTCCGTCTTTCTGATTCTGGCCAGTCTAACTGGTGTGAGGTGATATCTCAATGTGGTTTTGATTTGCATTTCCCTGCTGCTTAGTGATGTTGAGCATTCGTTTTTTCATACATAGGTTGGCCATTTGTGTATTTTCCTTTGAGAAATGCCTATTCAGCTCCTCTGCCCATTTTTAAGTTGGATTTTTTTGCTTGTTTGTTTGTGTTTACTGTTGTTTGAGTTCCTTGTATATTCTAGATATTAATCCCTTGTGGGATTCATAGTTTGTGAATATTTTCTCCCATTCTGTCGGTTGTCTTTTCACTCTGTTAATTGTTTCTTTTGCTGTGCAGAAGCTTTTTAGTCCATTTCTATTTTTATATTTTTATAAATATTCTGCTCTGAGGTAGGTCTCATATCCTCAAATGCTTGTTTGAATATAATTAATTCTGTTTGAACTGTTCACTTAGTTTCTTTCTGCTTTTTGGTTGTTTGCTTTGTGTGAAGTTTTCTTTCCTCTTCTTTTTTTAAGAATGTTTTTTAAGGATTTTTTTTCTTCCTTTTGTGTATTTGTATGATATTGGTTTCTTTTACAAAAATCCTACTATAACAATTCCATTTTTTGTCGGTACAGCAAAGTCCAGGCCTTCAAGCCCTTTTCTTTGCTTGTTTTGGTGGCAGAGGGAGAAGTTTTGAGTGCTCTGATTCTGTGGTTCTCTCATGTCCTGCAAGAGCATTTTTCTTTTCCCTTTCTGTTTCTTTTCCTCATCATTACTAAATGCCAAAGGATGCTTCGCCCTTCCTCTTTGCCTTTTCTCTTCTTCCTTTTTTTGGGGGGCAGTTGGGGGTGGGCTGATATGGGGATCCAAACCCTTGACTTTGGTGTTATAACACTTTGAAGCTATTTTTAAGTCTTGTAAGTCTTCCCTACCTCTTTAAATGGCACATATTTTGAAGTCTCTTTTCTATAGACCCTGCTCTTATCTTCCAGGATATCTTTTTGTTATTTTCAGACTTATTATGGGCCTAGTCATTCTGGCCGTACTTTTAGATCACCTTTAAGCTTGCCATCTTCCTTCCTCAGTATCTCTTGCAGCTCTCCTTGGTCTGTCTTTGCTTGCCACTAAGCCCATGGATGACTGTGTGAGAGATCATGTGCTGGAATATCGTGCTTTTTCTCCTTTTACTCACAATTATATTGAAGTTTTGTCATCTGTTTCTAAGTGATGATGAGTATGTGATTTGGACAGATTTACATTTGTTTTCTCTTGGTGATTTGTATCATTTTGGAAGGAAGTATTGAGCGGCAGGTAGCTAGATGGTCAATGTTGTCTTCTGCTCACTTACCCCTGATTTCAACTGACATTTTACCTTATGTCAATATGTATATGTATGAAGGCATACACAAACATAAACACTTATACATATACTCGAGTCTATTCCTATTCTATGTCTATAGTGGAAGTCTCCTGAGGTAGCTGCCTGA